TGCATGGGGTCCAGGGTGTACCAGCTAGATGGATAGAGAACTGGCTGGGCAACAGGAGACAGAGGGTTGTAGTGGAAGGGAGTTTCTCAAAATGGAGAACTGTGACCAGCGGTGTTCCACAGCGATCCATGTTGGGACCACTGTTGTTTGTGATATACATAAATGATCTGGAGGAAGGTACAGATGGTCTAATTAGCAAGTTTGCAGATGACACTAACATTGGTGGAGTAGCAGATAGTGAAGGGGACTGTCGGAGAATGCAGCAGAATATAGATAGATTGGAGAGTTGGGTGGAGAAATGGCAGATGGAGTTCAATCCAGGAAAATGCGAGGTGATGCATTTTGGAAGATCCAATTCAAGAGCAAACTATAGGTAAATGGAAAAGCCCTGGGGAAAATTGATGCACAGAGAGATCTGGGTGTTCAGGTCCATTGTACCCTGAAGGTGGCAATGCAGGTTGATAAGAGTGGTCAAGAAAGCATACGGCATGCTTTCATTCATCAGACGGGGTATTGAGTACAAGAGTTGGCAGGTCATGTTACAGTTGTATAGGACTTTGGTTCGACCACATTTGGAATACCGCATACAGTTCTGGTCGCCACATTACCAAAAGGATGTGGATGATTTGAAGGGTGCATAGGAGGTTCACCAGGATGTTGCCTGGTATGGAGGGCGCTAGCTATGAAGACAGGTTGAGTAGATTAGGATTATTTACATTAGAAAGACGGAGATTGAGAGGGGACCTGATTGAGGTCTACAAAATCATGAGAGGTATAGACAAGGTGGATAGCAAGAAGCTTTTTCCCCAGAGTGGGGGACTCAATTACTAGGGGTCACAATTTCAAGGTGAGAGGGGAAAAGTTTAAGGGAGATATGCGTGGAAAGTTCTTTACACAGAGGGTGGTGGGTGCCTGGAACGCATTGCCAGCAGAGGTGGTAGAGGCGGGCACGATAGCATCATTTAAGATGTATCTAGACAGATACATGAATGGGCAGGGAGCAGAGGGATATAGATCCTTGGAAAATAGGCGACAGGTTTAGATAGAGAATCTGGATCGGCGCACGCTTGGAGGGCCGAAGGGCCTGTTCCTGTGCTGCAATTTTCTTTGTTCTATTCATGTCATAACACATTGGGGCTTGTGTTTTGGTTTAACTATCAGAGGGGTTCGGACATTCCCCCTCTCTAACAAAGGTCTCAACAATTTCCTCACCTGTCTCCCTTAACATTCTGGGATAGATCCATCAAGTCCTGGGGACTTGACTGCATTAATGCTTTTCAAAACACCCTACACCACCTTCTTTTGTTATATTGACATGCCCTAGAATATTAACACAGCCCTCCCACACCCACTCCCATTACCAATAATCCTGCTGTTCTTACATTTTCCCATTATCTGTCCACATATCGGTTCCTCTATCACCTGCTGGCTATTAAGAGGCCTGTCGTACAAGCCCAAAACGACTGCACCCTTCCTTTTCCTGAGCTCTATCCATATGGCCTTGTTGGATGAGCCCTCCAAAGTGTCCTCTCTCAGTATACAGCAACTCCCCCATCTCTTTTACATCCCTCTTTATCTTGCCAGGATATTAAGCTGCTCGTCTTGTCCCTCTCACAACCGAGTCTCTGTAATAGCTAAAACATTCTCGTTGTCTGTATTAATCCAAGCTCTTAAGTTCGTCTGCCTTACTTGTGATACCTGAACCCCTCCCTCACACACCAGCTCTTTAGCCATGTATTTGACTGTACTATCTTCTGCACTACTGGCACGTGGCACAGGCAGTAATCCCAAGATTAAAACCCTTGAAGTCCTGATTTTCAACTTCCTACCTAACTCCTTGAGCTCCCCTTTCAGGACCTTATCTCTCTTTCTGCCTATTTTGTTAGTACCAATGTGAACCACAACCTCTGGCTACCCACCTCCCTCTTCAGAATATCCTGTGCCCACTCAGAGACAGGCTTGACCCTGGCACCAGAGAGGTAACTCACCATTCTGGAGTCTTGCTCGCAGCTACAGAAACACCTATCTGAGCCCCTGACTATACAGTCCCCAATCACTATTGCTCAGCTACCCTTGGGACCTCTCTGCCATACAACTGTACTAGTTGTGGTGCCACTAATCTGGCTGGTGCTTTCTCCTGAGAGGCCATCCCCAACAGTATCTAAAGTGGTATATTTGTGTTTCTCCTGAGAGGCCATCCCCAACAGTATCTGAAGTGGTATATTTGTTTGAGAGAGGAATGGCCACAGGGGACCCCTGCACTGCCTGCCCACACTTACTCATCTTCCTGGTGGTCACCCAACTCTTCCCCATTTGTGTAGCCCTTACTGGTGCTGTGGTCAGCTCACTAAACATGCTAGCCACGACATTCTCAGTCTCTTCGGTGCTCCATAGTGAGTCCATCCACAGCTCCTGGAATTGCAGCTGATATGTAAACATGGTAACCATGAACAGTGGAAGTGTCCCTGACTTCCGACAAATTGGAGGAGTAGCATTCCATGGGACAGCGTTCTTCTGCAAACACTACCCACTGGTCACCAAACTCCAGTCTCTCACGCTGGCTTTGTTCCCAGCAGAATGGGACTATAAAAATTAAGTATTTTATCTCTCTCCAGACACAGTCACTCAGTTTGCAGACCTGGGACATGAGCAGCCAAGTCTATGTCACTTTCTGAGTCATTATGTCACCTCTGGAGCTGCACCTGAGATTCACCGCCAGGTTCACTCTGACTGACCCCGCTCCTCAGGTATTTATCCTGCTGCTGTTCACCCCAGGTTCACTCTGACTGACCCCGCTCCTCAGGTATTTATCCTGCTGCTGTTCACCCCCAGGTTCACTCTGACTGACCCCGCTCCACAGGTATTTATCCTGCTGCTGTTCACCCCCAGGTTCACTCTGACTGACTTTGCTCCTCAGGCATTTATCCTGCTGCCACTATTGACCCTCCGGTTCACTGTCCTTCGCTCTGTTGCTGCTGTTCAGTCCAGGTCTCACTCCTCGGGTATTTATCCTGCTGCTGCTATCGCTTTGACCGGAGCCTAGTTTTAGATTCTCCCACAAGAAGAGACATCCTTTCAACATCTATCCAGTCAATTCCCTCAGGATTTATATTTGTTTCAATTAAGCTACCCCAACTCGTCTAAACTCCAGAGGATACAGGCAGGCCTAGCCTGTCTCACCTTTCCTCAGAAGGTAATCCGCTCATTCCAGGTATTGGACTCATAAAACTTCTCTGCACTGCTTCCAACACATTAACATCCTTCTGTATGTACACAGTACTCCAGATAATCTCACCTGCCTGTAAAACTGAATCATAACCAACCTTCTCTTGCATTCAATTCCCCTCACAATTAAACATAATACTTTTTACTTTCCTGATTGCTTGTGGTACGTGCATTCTAATCTTCTGTAATTCATGCACTAAGACACCCAGATCTCTCTGCACCTCAGATCTCAGTAGCCTCTCACTATTCAGATAATATGTTTTTTGTAAGTGACAATGCACACACTGCCAAAATGGACAATTTTAAAGTTTCCCACATTGTACTCCATTTGCCAGATCTTTGTCCACTCAGTTAACCTATCTGTATCTCTTTGTAGGCTCCTTATGTTCTCGACACTATATTTTCCCACCTATCTTTGTATCAGCAGCAGCAAGATACAGTTGCACTGGGAGAACTCAGTGACAGATGGTCACGCAGGAAGAATTCAGTGAGATACAGTTGCACAGAGAGCTGAGATTACATGATTGTAAAGATAACACAGGATGTGTTTTACCTGTATTGCTACCAGATTTGTATTCATTCTCAATTAGGCACTTCTTATTTTATTACTGACTGATCTTGTGCTCTAACTACCTTCCCAGAGCACCATTTGAGCAGATTTGGGCAACCAGACTAGATAGTGCCAAGCTAGCACTGTGTATTCTGTTAGCCTACAGTTAGTTAACACGAGGTCACAACTGGTACCTGGGTGGAGAAGTCAGTTTTCTGAACTTTTGCTCTGTGTGACCAGGGCAATGCAGATATTGAATTAATTTCTGTTCAGCTGAAGCTGCAAGAGGTGTGCGCTGGAATGGAGTTAGGAAAACAAAGGAATCTAAGGAGCACATCAGGTATTGTATTCTCGGAGCCTGTGTCACAGGCCAAGAGTTCCACAATTAAATGATAAAGCTCTTTCTCAGCCCAGGATGTGCCGAAAACATTCCTCACATTCCACCTGTCAAATCAGCCACACTATGTGACTAAAAATCTCATGGTTCTCACGTCTCCAATCACTGCGGCTTCAAGATAAGTCTCACAACTGAAACAATACATATCTCAGCAAAAATTATGGAGGGAACCCTGATATATTGTAAACCAGTGTGTGCACAATCACTTACATATCCCACACTGTAACACCAATACAGTCCATACTATCCAAAGTAATGGTCTGATAGATTCCACACCCCTCACTGTAACATTCTGATAGACCCCAGACCACTCACTATAAGAAGCTGATATACCTCACTCATCTCCAAGTAACACTGACAGTCCCCATATCACTCACTGTGACACAGTGACAGACCCCACATCCCTTACTGTAACACCCCATATACCCCACATCGTTCAATGCTACACTGATACACTCCACAATCCTCACTGTAACACATTGATATTTCCTCATTCACTTCACTGTAACACTGATATACCTCCTCACTGTAATACTCCGATATACTTAATTCACCTCACTGTAACACACTGATGTACGACACCACACCCCACTCTGTAACACACTGATGTACCCCTCGCTGTAGCACAATGATACATTGTAATGCTGTGATAAACTCCACTATAACACTCTGACACCTGCTGGTACTTTATAGGTGACATTATGTATGTCTCCTGAGCTACTATTGTAATCAATATCTGGTTCTCCTTTCCATGCTGAGTTCTAGATGATCTATGTCAGTTGATTGATCAATGGAAGGTTTACATAGCAAGGTGGCACTACATGGTACCTGTCTTGAACCAACCATCCGATGTAAATGAGTCCTGTGTTTCTTTTGTTCTGTTCCAATACTCTCGAAACACTGACTTTCCTTTAACCAGCAGCTCTCCATCCTTGCCTTCCATTCCAGGTTTCACCTATCAACACAAAACCATGGATTCAGCGCCACCCAGACATTCAATCCCAGTATGTTGCATGGAGTGTCATTGTTGAAAACACACCTGTTACTGCACGAGAGGCATATCTGTCTCATCAATGCACCTATACGTACAGCCTTTAACATTGTTAGATGACAAAGGCCCTTCATGGGTAGGTGAGTAAATAATATTTGACATGGAGCTACTTAGGGACATATTAGGATTGGTGACTAAATGCTTTGTCAAAGAGATAGATTTTAAAAAGTCTGAAAGATGTGAGGTAGAGAGGATTAGGAAAGAAATTCCAGAGTCTAGGAAAACTCCAAAAGTCTTCAGCAGCTGAAAGCACAGCTATCAATTGTGGAGTTATTAAAATTGAGGATGCACATTACAGACATCTCAACTAGGAGCAGGCACAGGCCATTTGGCCCTTTGAACCTGCTCTGCTGTTAAATAGTTACTTTTAATCAAACTGCTTGGACATATGACATACATCAGTACAATTTGGATTTGAACCCAGGCCTTCTGGCACACAGGTAGGGGCACTACAATTGTGCCACAAGAACCCTCTCCACTCTTAAATAAAATCACGGCTGAACAGATTACGATCTGAATTCCAATTTCCTGCCTATCTCTGATATCCTTTGTTGTATCAGTTGCTGACAGCTGCAGTGTTTAGCCTCCGATAAAAAGGAAATTATTTGCAGCATACTCTGATCTTATTACAGTGAATCATTTTAACTGCTCATCTGCTACAGGTAGAGATGGTGCAGAATTTGACATTTACCACAGATCATTTTAAGAACTCACTTACATTAAATATGAATAACACTGAACTCATGTTTGGGGAAGGACATCTAGCTCATTGAGTCTTTACAACATCTCCGGAGAAGAGATGTACTCCTTCATCTAGATGTTATACAGACCCTGTACACAACTGGCCCTATCCTACAGACCCAGTACATAAGCCAGTGTCTTTGAAAAGACTGTCAGCTTGGCCTATAGCAACACTCTTTCATTTGACTGAGACAGTGATGGTTTCAAGGCCCAATCAAGAAACTACAGCACTCATAAGACCATAAGATATAGCAGCAGAATTAGGTCATTCGGTCTGTCGGGTCTGCTCCACTATTCAATCATGGCTGATATGTTTCTCAACTCCATTCTTTTGCCTTCTCCCTGTAACCTTTGATCCCCTTACTAATCAAGAACTTATCTCTGTCTTAAATACACTCAATGATTTAACCTCCACAGCCTTGTAGAGCAATGAGTTCCACAGATTCGCCACCTTCTGGCTAAAGAAATTCCTCATCTCAGTTCTAAACAGTCAATCTTTCACTGTTTCTGTGCCTTCAGATCCTTGTCTTTCCCGCTTGTGGTAATATATCTTCCACATCCACTCTATCCAGGACTCCCAGTATTCTATATGTTTCAATGAAAATAGAGGTTGATTTCTAATGCACTATATGGGAGTGCTGCATTGTTGAAGAAGCTGTCTTTGAGATTACATCCTAAACCATGGCCTAATCTGCCAACTCAGATAAATGGAATAGATTCCACAGCACTAGATGAAAAATAGCAAATGAGTGTAGTTGGCTGATATTTAGCTGTGCCACTTAAACCCCTCTGAATCACTGGACTTGAAATGTAAACTCTGCTTTCTTCCCACAGATGCTGCCAGACCGGCTGAGTTTCACCAGCAATTTCTGTTTTGTTATTAAATGGTAATTTCTCTGATTGCTGTGCGGCTTCATTTGCTTACATAATGAGAGCTAAACTTCAAAAATAATTTACTTCCTGCAGTAATCTGCTATGTAGCTGACAAGTCAAATGCACAATATAAATGTAAGTTTTTTAAATTCTTGTATCATCTAACAGACTGAATATTTGATTACCAGTTACAACAATCCAAAACATTCTTTTTTATAAAACATTATCCTACAGAAGAGGTGGTGCTGGAGCTCTTAAAACGCATAAATGTAGATAAATCCCCAGCACCTGATCATATGTATCCCAGAACTTTATGGGAAGCTACGGAAGAGATTGCTGGGCCCTTGCTGAGATATTTGTATCATCGACATTTGGATCACCGGTAAGGTGCCAGAAGACTGGAGGTTGGCTAATGTGGTGCCAGTATTTAAGAAAGGCTGTAAGGAAAAGCCAAGGAACTATAGACCAGTGAGCCTGACGTCAGTGGTGGGTAATTTGTTGGAAGAGATTCAGAGGGACAGGATTTACTTAAATTTGGAAAGGCAAGGACTGATTAGGGATAGTCAACATAGCTTTGTGCATGGGAAACTGTGTCTCACTAACTTGATTGACCTTTTTTTGAAGAGGTGATTGAGAAGATTGTTGAAGGCAGAGCAACAAACGTTGTCTATGCGCCCAGGAAGACATTCAACAAGGTTCTGCAGGGTGGACTGGTTAGCAATGTTAGATCACATGAAATTTAGGGCAAACTTGCCATTTGGAGACAGAGGTAGGTGGTGAAGGGTTGTTTTTCGGACTGAAGGCCTATGACCAGCTGTGTGCTGCAAGGATCGTTGCTGGGTCTGCTGCTTTTTATCATTTATATAAACGATTTGACTGTGAATATAGGAGGTGGTGTCAGTAAGTTTGCAGATAACGCCAAAATTAGTGGTGTAGCGGACAAGGTGGTTATCTCCCGCCTTGATCGGATGGGCTAACGGGCCAAGAAATGGCAGATAGAGCTTAATTTAGGTAAATGTGAGGGTGTTGCATTTTCATAAGGCAAACTGGGGCAGGACTTATACAGTTAATGGTAGGGGCCTGGGGAGTTTGCCAAACAAAGAGTCTTAGGGGTGCAGGGGCAGAATTCCTTGAAAGTGCAGTCACAGGTAGACAGGGTGGTGAAGAAGGCATTTGGTACACCTCCCTTATTGGTCAGTGCATTCAGTCCAGGAGTTGGGATGTCATTATGCGTCTGTACAGGACACTGGTGAGGCCACTTTTAGAATACTGCATTCAATTCTGGTCTCGCTGCTGCATGTATGGAATGTGCTGCCAGAGTTGGTGCTGGACAACGGGTACAATTACCACATTTAAAAGGCATCAGGATGGGAAAGGTTTAAAGAGACATGGGCCGAATGCAGGCAAATGGGACTAGATCAGTTTAGGACATCTGGTCAGCATGGTGAGTTGGACCGAAGGGTCTGTTTCTGTGCTGTGTAACTCTATGACTCTATGAATGGCTTGCCAGGCCATTTCAGGAGGCAGTTGAAAGTTAACCACATTGCTGTGGGGCTGGAGTCACATGTAGACCACACTAAGCCAGGATGGCAAATTTCCCTCCCTGATGGACATTCATGAACCAGATGGGTTTTTCTGACAATCAGAAGGTCAGAATTGGGGATATTCACTGATGATTGCACAACATTCAACACCATTCGTGACTCTTCAGATACTGAAGTAGTCCATGACCAAATGCAAAAAGATCTGAACAATATCCAGGTTTGGTTGACAAGTGACAAGTAACATCTACAGCACACAAATGCCAGGCAAAGAACATTTTCAACATTCAATGGTATCACCATCACTGAATACCCGATGATTAACATCCTCAGAGTTACCATTGACCAGAAACACAAGTGCACTAGTCATATGAGTACTGTTACAAAAGTAGGTGAAAGACTAATAATCATTCAATTAACCTCCTGACTCCCCAAAGTCTAGCCACCATCTAGAAGACACATGAATACTTCCCTCTTGCCTGAATGGGTGCAGCTCGGAAAAACACTCAAGAAGCTTGATATCATTCAGTACAAAGCAGCCCACTTGACTGACACCATATCCACAAACATTCACTCCCTCCACCATCAAAGCTCAATAGCAGCAGTGTGTGGAGGAAAGTTTAGGGGAGAAGTACAGGGAAAATTCTTCACACCAAGGGTGGTGGGTGCCTGGAACACACTGCCAATGGAGGTGGTGGAAGCAGGCATTTTAGCATTGTTTAAAGCGTATCTTGATAGACACATGAATGGAAGGCGAACAGAGGGATATAAACCATGCATGGGCAATAAGTAGCAGGTCTAAATAAGGATCAGAATCAATGCAGCCTTGGTGGCCTGTTCCTGTGCTGTATTAGATTGTGTTGTATTGATGAACTTTGGTCAGAAGAACATAGAGCCACATACTGCTTGGATATGAATCTAAATGGCTTATAGCAGCAGGAGAATTTAGGGATATAGATACAAATATTCTACAAAGTAGGTTAGTAAGGCCAACAAATTTCTTGAGGGTAAAATTGAAAAGCAGAGAATCTATGTTAAAGATGTGCAAAACTTTGGGTGTATCACTTTGAGCACTGTACTCTGGTATGGCCTTCATGTTGTAAAATACAATGGGACTAACTGATTATTCTTGTAAAATGCTAAATGGCTTCCTTCTTTATTGTACATTACAATGATTGGAAAACGCACAGAACGTGGAAAGGTTAAAAAAAAATCAATTAAGAGAAACAATATCAGAAGTGACATTGTGTAAATATCATGAAGGATTAAATAGAAGGCTGTTTCTCACAAAAAAAAAAGAGGCTGAATGATCACTTGAAAGAGATCTTTAAGATCTGATAGGACAGATGTGGAGAAAACACTGCCGCTGTAGGCAGTCCAAAACTAGATGTCACGTATACAAGATACCCAACTATAAATTCAGTGAAAAATTCAGCAGAAACCTCTTTATGCAGAGTGTGAAATTAATGTAAAGAGAATAAAGGTTGCAGAGATCAATTGTGTCAAATGGGCCCAGTTCTGCACAGCAGATTCTCTATTCTATATAAATGCACCATAACAAAAACCAAACCCCAGATCCAGTTATCACTGGATGCACAGCACAGAATTATACAGTGATTATACAGATATACTAGGCATATATAAAGACTTACACATTAGTTAGAACTATCCAATTTTAAACATTCACAAGATGGGACAGCTCTAACAAAACTGGAAAAGTGACAATGTTTACCAACTTGTATACACTGTGTGTATACCTCACAGCCTTACTGTGAGCTTATATTGTCCTCACCTTAGTTTCTCTACTGTTCCCCTCAGCGATGACAGTGTAGGAAGAATGATTCCTTGTAGGGTTTTCCATCACAATGCGCACCTCCGTTCCAGGCAAAGGGGTCCCAACAGCTCCTAGGTTCAAATCAAACACTGTGATAGAAAAGGCAGTGAGAATTCCCTGTTACCCCCTCCTGACAGTAAGGTCCTGCCAAAACAATGGACAGTAAATACCACATTGTACATTTTAATAAAAAAAGAGAACACCCATACGGTCCTAGATAAATGAGGAAAAAACCCTTACAGTGCCCGAGATTTCAAAAAAAGGCAGTGAGAACACCATATAAATACGCCTTCTCAAGATGTAATAGGTATAAATCCATACAAATACTCTTTCAGATACATTAGGCAGTTAGAAAGACTGCTGTAAATACCCTTCCAAGATACAAAAAAAGCCCAAATAAATGTTAAGCTGAGATATAATAGATAGCAATAAGTGTTGTTAAAATCCTAATCCATCACCCCTTAGAGAGTCACAGAGTCCTACAGCACAGAGACAGGTCCTTCAGCTCAGACTGGTCCACGCCGAACAAAATGTCCATCCATGCTAACCCCATTTCCCTGCACTTGGTCCATATCCTCCTAAAACTTTCCTATCCATGTATTCATCCAAATGCCTTTTAAATGTAGTTAATGTACCCACCTCAACCACTTCCACTGGCAGCTGATTCCATATGCGCCCTGCCCTCTGAGTAAAAAAGTTGCCCCTCAGGTTCCCATCACACTTATCTATATTAAACTCCATTTGCCATTTAAGGAAGAGGGTGTCAACGTTTTGGTCAAAAACCTTTTGTCAGGACTGGGGAGGGGTAAGGGAGCCCAGAAATAAATAGGGGCTGGGGGGACAGTAGGTGGGATGGAGATAGGTGTATGAAGGTAGGGTGTTATTGTGGTTGGTCAGTGGGAAGGGTGGAGCGGACAGGTGAGTCAGAAGATGGACAATGTGGGGTGGAGAAATTTGGAAGCTGGTGAAGACAATTCAGGTCATTGGGCTGTAAACTCCGCTCCACCCTTTCTACTTGAAACATTAGTGCTGTTTCTCTTTGCACAGATACAGCCAGACCTGCTGAATTTCTCCAGCATCTTTTGTGTTTGTTTCAGATTTCCAGTAGCAGCAGTACTTTGCTTTGATCATCTTCAATTCAAATATATTGTAGTCACTGTTACCAAGTGGTACCTTCACTTTGAGATCATTAATTCACCCTGTCACTTTACACAATCCCAAGTCCAGTATAACTTAGCCCTCTGGTTGGTTCTGGAATGTGCTGCTCTAAGAAACTCTCTCAAAAGCATTCTATTAACTTCTCATCCAGGCTACTATCGCCAATTAATTTTTCAAGGTTGTATGTAGATTAAAATAACTTGTGATAAAGGGTCAGCAATAATCATAAGCAACCAATATTCTTCCTGCATACTTCATCCCACATTGTGGTCACCGTTGGGGAGCCTATAGATTACTCCAACAGTGACTTCTTTCTCCTACTATTCCTCATCCTCACTCAAGCTACATCCTGATCTTCTGAAACAACGCCATCTCTAAAATTCAAGGACTCTACTTCCACCTCCTTTTCAATAAGAGAGTTCCAATGATTCACCATACTGTCTTTAAGGTTTTAGAGTAGATTTGTAGCTCAGGTTGTGGACATTGTAGTTGGTTAGCTCGCCGAGCTGGTTCGTTGTTTCGCAGACGTTTCGTTAGCCTGCTGGATAACATCATCAGTGCAGCCTCCGATGAAGCGCTGTTGTGTCTCCCACCGTCTGGAGTCCGTTAAGCTGGATTACCTCACTTGCGGTTTTCCTTCGCAGTGGTGTGTACACGCGGTTGAGCTCTATGTGTTTGTTGATGGCTTTCTTCGTGGAGTACCAGGCTTCTATGAATTCGGATCAACCCTGGTTCAATGAAGAGTGCAGGAGGGCATGCCAGGAGCAGCACCGGGCATACCTGAAGATGAGGTCTCAACCAGGTGAAGCCACCAAACAGGACTACTTGCACACCAAACAGCATAAGCAGCAAGTGATAGACAGAGATAAGCAATCCCAAAACCAAGAGATCAGATCTAAGATCTGCAGTCCTGCCACATCCAGTGGTGAATGGTGGTGGACAATTAAACAACTCACTGGAGGAGGCAGCTCCATAAATATCCCCTTCCTCAATGATGGGAGAACGCAGCACATCAGTGCAAAAGATAAGGCTGAAGCTTTCGCAGCAATCGTCAGCCAGAAGTGCCGAGTGGATGATCCAACTCGGCCTCCTCCAATGGTCCGCAGCATTACAGATACCAGTCTTCAGCCAATTCGATTCATTCCACGTGATGTCAAGAAACGGTTGGAGACCCTGGATACTGCAAAGGCTATAGGCGCTGACAACATTCCAGCAATTGTACTGAAGACTTGTGCTCCAGAACTTGCCACTCCCCTAGCCAAACTGTTCCAGTGCAGTTACAACACTGGTATCAAACCGACAATGTGGAAAATTGTCCATGTATGTCCTGTACATAAAATGCAGAACAAATCCAACCCGGTCAATTACCATTCCATTAGTCTACTCTCAATCATCAGTAAAGTGATGGAAGGTGTTATCAACGGTGCTATCAAGCAGCACCTGCTCAGAAATAACCTGCTCAGTGGCGCCCAGTTTGGGATCCGCCAGGGCCACTCAGCTCCTGACCTCATTACAGCCTTGGTTCAAACATGAACAAAAGAGCTGAATTCCAGAGGTAAGGTGGGAGTGACAGCCCTTGACATCAAGGCTGCAGTCAACCGAGTGTGGCATCAAGGAGCCCTGGCAAAACTGGAATCAGTGGGTATTGGGGGCAAACTCTCCACTGGTTGCAGTCATACCTGGCACAAAGGAAGATGGTCATGATTGTGGGAGGTCAGCTCCAGGACATTTCTGCAGGAGTTCCTCAGGGCAGTGTCCTAGGCCCAACCATCTTCAGCTGCTTCATCAATGACCTTCCCTCCATCGTAAGGTCAGAAGTAGAGATGTTTGCCGATGATTGCACAATGTTCAGCACCATTTGTGACTCCTCAGATACTGAAGCAGTCCCTGTTCAAATGCAACAAGACATGGAAAATATCCAGGCTTGGGCTGACAAGTGGCAAGTGACATTCATGCCACACAAATGCCAGGCTATGACCATCACCGATAAGAGACAATCTAACCACTGTCTGTTGACATTCAATGGTGTTCCCATCACTGAATCCCCCACTATCAACATCCTGGTGGTTACCATTGATCAGAAACTCAACTGGACTCACCTCATAAACACAGGGGCTACAAAAACAGGCTAAAAGCTCGTATACTGCAGCGAGTAACTCATCTCCTGACTCCTCAAAGCCTGTCCACCATCTACAAGGCACTAGTCAAGAGTGCGATGGAATACTCCCCACTTGCCTGGATGAGTGAGCCCCAGCAACACTCAAGAAGCTTGACACCATCCAGGACAAAGCAGCCCGCTTTACTGGCGCCACATCCACAAGCATCCACTCCCTCCACCACCAACGCTCAGTAGCAGCAGTGTGTACTATCCACAAGATGCACTGTAGAAATTTACTGAAGATCCTCAGACAGCACCATCTATACCCACGGCCACTTCCATCCAGAAGGACAAAGGCATCAGACATATGGGAACATCACTACCTCCAAGTTCCCCTCCAAGCCACTCACCATGCTGACGTGGAAATATATCGCCGTTCGTTCACTGCCGCTGGGCCAAAATCCTGGAATTCCCTGCCAAACAGCATTGTGGGTCAACCCACAGCAGGAGGACTGCAGCTGTTCAAGAAGGCAGCTCACCACCTTCTCAAGGGCAACTAGGGATGGGCACGAAATGCTGGCCAGCCAGCGACGCCCACATCCCACAAATGAATATAAAAAAAAATTATGAGAGGCATAGATAGAATGGATAGTTAGCATCTTTTTCCCAAGGTAGAAATGTCAATTACTAGCAGACATAGGTTTAAGGTGAAAGCGGGAATACTTAAAGGAGATGTGAGATACAAATTTTTTTTTTTACACAGAAGGTGTAGAAGGTGTAAGTGCCTGGAATGCGCTGCCAGAGGTGGTGGTGAACACTGATACAATAGCAACGTTTTACAGGCAGCTTGGCAATGCATGGATAGACAGGGAAGTTAAGAGATATGGACTGCATGGGGCAAAAGGTTTTTAGCTTAGAAAGGCATGTGTTGACGCAGGCTTGGTGAGCCAAAGGGCCTGTTCCTATGCCGTACTGTTCTTTGTTAAAGATAATATACTGTTGTTGGTAAAGCTTTGCACGTTCTTCAATAATCTCCACTACAAGACTTAGAGACATAATCTAAACTGGCATTTCAGTTCCAAACTGAGGGAATGCTGAATTGTTGGACCTTTTGTATTTTCTTTCTGCTAGGTATGACTCCAATTAAGTGAAGAGCATCCCCCTGAGGTGCACTCCTGACTGAACTAGAAATTCTCTAGTAATAGCTGTTGTCTTCCACTCTCTTTTCTCTGCAAATCCTTTGACAAGAATAAGGCACATTTAAAGGTGAAGGGATGACTTCTCAACAAGTGAATGAAAGAGAGCATCTGCATGCAAACAAACTTAGGTCAATGGAAAAAAATTAAAAATGAATGTAAAAGAGAAAGAAATCTGGTTCGGTGCAGGCTTGGATGGCCGAAGGGCCTGTTCCTGTGCTGTAATTTTCTTTGTTCTTTAAAACAACTCATCAAATCCTCTGGTCCAGCCTGGTGTTATTGAACTGCATTTCACTGATCTTTGTTTCTTTATCCATTCTTAACATTCATGTCTTGTCTTTGTGTTTCTGCCTGTTTTGTGAAGATGGGAGTTTAGTCGAGAGTTTAAATTGTAGCTCACAGCCAAAAACAAGCCATTACACACTCCTACACTGCAGGTAAAAGAACTCAAGACACATACTCTCACTTTGAGTACTTCCAGCCAATCACTGTCCTAAGGAACCAGGACAAAAGATTTCAATCAACTTGGAAAATCAAGAATCTCAAAATGAACTGCTCAACTACTGACATCAACGCTACTGTACCATACAATATAACAACCGCACCATTCTACTAATTACTTCACAAATGACTCAGTTTGATCTGTATATCATTTTACAATGTTTATCTGACTTTATTCATTGGAATTCAGAAGATTGAGGGGGGATCTTATAGAAACATATAAAATTATGAAGGGAATAGATAAGATAGAAGTAGAGAGGATGTTTCCACTGGCAGGTGAAGCTAGGACAAGAGGGCATAGCCTCAAGATTAGAGGGAGCAGATTTGGACTGAACTGAGAAGGAATTTCTTCACCCAGAGGGTTGTTAATCTATGGAATTCCTTGCCTAGTGAAGTAGTTGACGCTACTTCAGTAAACGCTTTTAAAAAAAACGTAGATTTTTTTTGAACAATAAAGGAATTAAGGGATACAATGAGAACGCGGGTAAGTGGATCTGAGTCCACGAAAGGATCAGCCATGACCTTACTGAATGGCGGAGCAGGCTTGAAGGGCCAGACGGCCTACTCCTGCTCCTAGTTCTTATGTTTAGACTCACTTCCTTCTCCTAAACTTTGTGTATGTGTGTTGTCTTATTATTTCTTCTAGCATTTATGAATCATAGAATCCCTACAGTGTGGAAACAGGCCCTTTGGCCCAACAAGTCCACACCAACGCTTGGAGCATCCCACCCAGACCCAACCCCTGTAACCCACCTAAGCTACATATCCCTGAACACTATGGGCAATTTAGCATGGCCAATCCATCTAACCTGCACATCGTTGGACTGTGGGAGGAAACTGGAGCACCCGGAGGAAACCCACGCAGACACGCGGAGAATGTGCAAACTCCACACAGACTGTCGCCCGAGGGTGGAATTGAACCCGGGGCCCTGGCGCTGTGAGGCAGCAGTGCTAACCACTGAGCCACCGTGATGGCCGAAACATTTACTAACTAATAAACTCAAATCTTTCGCAAACACAAAACCTGGTTAAATTAGCTCCTCTTAAAATATAAATTTGTTTGTTCAGGAAAAAGATATCCAGAGAAGATGATATCCATTTTAAATTAACATTCCTCTGACCAACCAAGGGAGCAGGTGAATAAAGGTCATCACTCCTGACCCAGTAACTTAAGGATTTGGGGTACCCATCTGTAACTGTAACAAATTGGGGAATGTTGCCTGGGAACTGGTCATAACACAGGCACTCACACGTTCACATGCTTTTTAATACATTACTCTGTGCTTACCTGGGATACGGACTCCATGGACTGGATTGGAGAGAACCATTCCTATTTCAGTCATTCCATATCGCTCTAACAACGTGTGGCCACTGATTTCTTTCCACTTCTTCAGTATTGGTTCAGGAAGAGCAGCAGATCCTGAAACCATTAACCTAAAAAGACACATATACAGCAAACAACTATCAGACAGCAACACCTCATGACGTGATGTGATGTAATTGAAAAGGGGCAGGAACAGCATAAAAATAAAATTGATTAAGGGGTAGAAATAGAGAGTTGTGATGAATGGCTGTGTTTCAGACCAGATATATGATGGAGTTTCCCAAAATCCAGTACTAGGTCCATTGCTATTTCTTGTGTACATTAATTAGTTAGGCATAGTGATATGCAGAGCACAATTTCCAAATTTGCATACAACATAAAATTTGGAAATGCAGCCAACAGTGAGACAGATATGTTATAATCACAAGTATAAGAAGAAGAAGATGAATATTGGTTAAAATCTGGTTTAGTTGACCATAAACATTTGAATATAATACATGGAAGCACCAAGAGTAAGATGGCAGCAGGATTCCAGGCTTAAATTGCAATGTCAAAAAATCTTTTATTATGCAAAGTTGAACCTGAAACAAACATTAGCATTCACGAGTAACCATAGAGACAGTACAGCATAGAAGGCACCATCCAGCCCACCTTGTTCATGCTGACCCAAAGACACCAGCTGCCCTTTCTAATCCCATCTCCCTGTACGCGGCCCGGGGCCCTGCAGCTTCAGCACTAAAGATGCAGATCCAGGTATTTTAGTTTAGGGTCTTTGCCTCCACCACCAATTCTGGCAGTGAATTCCAGACACACACCACCCTGTATGTAAAAATGATTTTCCTCACATCCTCTCTAATTCTTCTGTCACTAACTCAATACACTGACCAATAAAAGCAAGTGTACCAATTGCCTTCTTCACTATCCTGTCTACCTGTGACTCCACCTTCAAGGAACTATGAACCTGTATCCCAAGGTCTCTTTGTTCGGCAAAATGGCCCTACCATTAACCGTACAGTTCCTGCCCTGATTTGCCTTACCAAAAGGCAACACCTCATATTTATCTAACTTAAATGCTATCTGCCACTCCTCGGCCCATTAGCCCACCTGATCAAAATCCCCTTGTACAATGAGGTAACCTTTACTGTCCACTACACCACCAATTTTGGTGTCATCTGCAAACATACTAACCATACCTCCTATGTTCACATCCAAATCATTTCTATAAATGACAAAAAGCAGTGGATCCAGCACAATCCTTGCAACACATTAAGGTCCTGAATGAATACTTTACATTGGTATTCACCAAGGAGAAGGACATGGAAGATGGTAAGGGAACACTGATGTTAGGGAGGTGGTGGTGCTGGGTTTCTTGAAAATCATTAAGGTAGACAAGTCTGCACGGCCTCTTGGGATCTATCCCAGGATACTAAGGGAGGCAAGGGAGGAGATTGCTGGGGCTCTGACAGAGATCTTTGTATCCACTGTAGTCAAGGCGAGGTCCCAGAAGACTGGAGAATAGCCAATATTTTTCCTTTGTTTAAGAAGGGCAACAGAAATAATCCAGGAAATGTTAGGCCTATGAGCCTTACATATGCGGTAGGGAAATTATTGGAGACGATTGTTGGGGACAGAAAACACTCGCAATTGGAAAAGAATGGACTTATTAGGAATAGTCAGCATGGCTTTGTCCAGGGAAGGTCTTGGCTCTCAAATTTGATTTAAGTTTTCTGAGGAAGTGACGAAGATGGTTGATGAGGATAGGGCAGTGGATGTTGTCTGCATGGACTTTACTGAAACAATTGACAAGGTCCCCCATGGTAGTCTAGTCCAGAAGATTAAGTCACATGGGATCCATGGTGAGTTGGTAAATTGGAAACAAAATTGGCTTGGTCATCGAAGACAGAGGGTAGTTGTGGAGGGATGTTTTTCATACTGGAGGTCTGTAACTGGTGGGGGTGTTCCATAAAGATAATGCTGGGACCTCTGTTGTAATTGATAGAAATGATTTGGGTGCAAAATTTTGGGTGAAGAAATTTCAGATGCAGATTAATCTAGGTAAGTGTGAAGTGATGCATTTTGGGAGGTGACTGAGATTATTCATTTACCTGATGTTGCTCTGGCACATACTGTATATAAAGTCCTTTACATGGCTCTGTCTGAAGTACTTGGTATGGTACTCAATGAGTTTGGCATATATAGTAGGCACTGCCATGAACATGTTGATCCGAGGAATTTCTGTGCAATCAGTTTTCAACAGGTACTCCCAAACCTCAAAAGAAAATAACTAAATTAGAAACATGATTCGTTTATCAGCAGTTTTATTTTATTTATCCTTCCATAGTAACAGTAAGAATATCCATGAAGGGACTCCTTCCTACTTCCACTGCCATACCATTCAGTTGGACTCTAGGATGTGAAAAGGAATGCATCAACAATGTCACACTTTCAGCACCGAGCATCATAATCAGCCAATGTTGTTTCACAGAGAAACACAGGAAATGTACATGCTTCAAATGAACTAATCCTAAAATTATGTAACAAAATAAAAGTTAAATGAATAAAAAGAGCACGTTGAACCAAATATTTACACTCAACTGCTGGACAAAGGCTAAGCAGATCTATCGGACGGGCAGTGCTGACAAAGGGGTGCACTATTGGAGGGTCAGAGTGGAGGGATGTGCTGCATTATGAGAAGGTTAGCACAGAGGGAGCACTGCAGTGTCAGAGGGCCAATACTAAGTGAGTGCCACACTGTCAGAGAGTGCCACACTGTGGGAGGGGTATTTATTGAGGGTCAGTACTGAGGGAGTACTGCAATAACAGAAGGGCAGTCATAAAGGGAGCACTGCACTATTGGAGGAGCACTACTGAGGAAGTACTGCTCCTCAGCAAGTCACTGAACCAAGGCCCAATTTGCTGATTTAATGGAGACAGTAAGGACTGCAGATGCTGGAAGCCAGAGTCAATAGATGTGAAGGCGGAAAAGCACATCAGGTCAGACAGCATCCGAGAAGCAGGAAATTCAATGTATCGGGCTAAAACCCTTCGTCAGGATTGGGGAGGGGCAGGGGAAGCCCAGAAATAAATAAAGGGAGGGGAATAGGGCTGGGGGAAGCATAAGTGGGATAGTGGTCGGTGGATGCACGTAGGGGGTTAAGAGATAACAAAGTGCAAAGCTGGATGAACACAGCAGGCCAAGCAGCATCAGAGGAGCAGGAAGGCTGACGTTTCGGGCCTAGACCCTTCTTCAGAAAATATTGTGATTGGTTGGTGGGAAGGGTAGAGTGGATAGGTTAGTGTGAAGACAGTCAAGTCAGGGAGGTGAAGAGAAGGGGGAGGGATGGACATGGGGAAGGCTGGGGTGGAGGGATTTTGAAGCTGGTGAAGTCAATATTAAGACAATGGTGCTGTAAGGTCCCAAGGTGAAATATCAGGTGTTGTTCCTCCAGTTTACATTTGGCTTCACTCTGACAGTGGAGGAGGCCAAGGATGGACGTGTCGCCAGGGGAGTGGAAGGGGGAATTAAAATGGATGGCAACTGGAAGGTCGAGTTGGTTAGCGCGTGCAGAGCACAAATGGTCGTCGAGTCTGTGTTTGGTCTCCCCGATATAGATGAGACCACACTGGGAGCAACAGATACAACAGATTAGTTTGGATGAATACAGGTGAATCTCTGCCAGATCTGGAAGGATTTTTTGGGGCCTTGGGCGCAGATGACAGAGCAGGTCTATGAGCAGGTGTTGCATCCCTTGTGTTTGCAGGAAAAGGTACTGGGTGCAGTGGAGAAGTTGGTGGTGAGTGTAGAGCTGATGAGGGAGTCATGGAATGAACGGTCCCTGTGGAAATTGGACAGCGGTGGGGAAGAAAATATCTTTTTGGTGGTCTGATTGTAGGTGGCAGAAATGTCAGAGGATGATGCATTGGATTCAGACGTTGGTGGGGTGGTACGTGAGGTCTAAGGGGACTCTATCCTTAATGTAGTTTTGGGGAGAGGGTTTGAGGGCAGAAGAATGGGAAATGGAAGAGATGTGGTTGAGGGCATCCTTAATCACAGAGAAGGGGAAATTCCAATCCATAAACTAGGAGGATATCCAGGATATCCTGGAGTAAAACACCTTATCCTGGGAGCAGATGCGGCAGAGGTGGAGGAATTGAGATGCGCCTGATTTAACGTTTAATTACACATTAAAGTACCCATTGTACTGTTCAAAGAGGAACACGGCAGGTTTCCCAGTGTCCTGTTTAACATTTTGCAATTTCTCAATGCCACCTAAAATGGATTAAATTGTCATTTATGTCATTGTTGTTTGTGTATTTTACAGTGGGCATATGCATTGCTCTCATTTACATAACAACAATAACATTATTGCTTAAATAAGCAGTTTCAGATGTTTCCAAGAGATCTGATAAAGGCTAGTCCTTTCAAACATCCTTTCTTGGATTTATCAATATAAGAAGCAATGAATCAATCGGACTGAGTTGAAGACCTTCAAACTGTAAAAATTCACAAATGCATCAAGTGTTCAATTTATCTCAGTCCCAACTCCCAAATATTCTTGCACCACACACACTGTAAATCTGTATTTTAATATACAGTAGTCACAGAGGATGTAAGGTAATAGCCTGCAACAGTCAACACAAACCCACCAGGTACAATGGATTGTCAAAATTTGTTTTTCTATTTTCCTTCCTCTTGAAGTATCTGCCAGACATTTTCGGCTCCTGGAAGAAACTGTTAGAAAGTCCGGAGCCACTTCAAGGCTTGCTTAGTGATTCAACATAAAAAACAGATTCCCAAGGGCTTCACAGACACATGCAACGTCAATGCACATATCCTCTATTGCATTCTCTGTTCTCCTTACTGTCAACCAACCCACTGGCTTTAAATAACGTGCAGCAACCGTGACACAGCCTCATTTCTCACTGAGCTTGGACAGATAGAACAATCGATCATCCACCTCCAACACATGGAGTACAGCCACATGCTCTCATGCCACTCTGTCCCTCACTATTAGTAATTCCAGTCATAAGCCACCACAGAGGGTGGCTGATAGTCATCACAGGAGGAGGCGATGGCCTACTGGTATTATCACTGGACTGTTAATCCAGAGACCCAGATAATGTTCCGGGGACCCAGGTTCAAATCCTGCCATGGCAGATGGTGGAATTTGAATTCAATAAATATCTGGAATTAAGAATCTAATGATGACCGTGAATCTGTGGTCAATTGTCGGAAAAACCCACCTGGTTCACTAATGCCCTTTAGGGAAGGAAACTGCCATCCTTACCCGGCCTGGCCTACAGGTGACTCCAGACCCACAGCATTTGTGGTTGACTCTCAACTGCCCTCTGGGCAATTAGGAATGGGCAATAAATGCTGCCTGGCCAGTGATGCCCTCATCCTGTGAATGAATAGAGAGGAAAAAAAAATTCTGGGAGACATCACCACTGTCATCACGACTGTACAGGGGGTCAGAGGGAACATGGTGTCAAGGTGTACTGCTGCGGGTGGCGATGGCCTTTCAGGGGCTAGCAGCAGCAGGCAGGTCAGTGGCACTGTGACCGGCTCTGAAGCTCAGCGGGAAAGGGTGCTGTCAGACAGAGCGATACTGATAGGAGACTCAGTTGTAGGGGGTGCAGACAGGAGATTCTGTGGCTACAGAAGAGACACCACGATGGTGTGTCGCCTTCCTGGGTGCTAGGGTCAAGGATGTCTGAGTGGTTGTATAACATTCTGAAGGGGGAGGGTAAACAGCCAGAGGTCATTGTGCACATCAGTATAAATGACATAGGTAGACAAAGGGATGGGGTCCTGTGAAATGAATATAGGGACTTAGGTAAGAAGTTAAAAATCAGGACCTCAAGGGTAGTGATCTCTGGATTAATCCCAGTGCTACGCACCAGTGAGGATAGAAATAGAAACATAGGCCAGATGAATGCATGGCTGAGGAGCTGGTGCAGGGGCCAGAGTTTCTTGAATCATTGGGATTTCTCTTGGGGTAGAGGTGATCTGTACAAGAGGGATGGGTTACACTTGAACCAGAGGGGGTCCAATATCCTTATGGGAAAATTTGCTAGTGTTACCTGCCAAACTAGTTTGACAGCAGGAGGTGGCACTCTGAATAAGAGAGGGGAAGTCGGGGAAAATACATTAGCCATTGAGAGCAAGTTTACTATTCAGGACAGCCAGGGGCACAGTACAGGGAGGGAAAAGGCTTCTGATGCAAAGTGCATTTATTCCAATGCACGAGGCCTGACTGTAAGGCAGATGAGCTCAGAGCATGGATGGGCTCTGGGGACTGGGATATTACATCCATAACAGAAACATGGCTGAGAGAAGGGCAGGACTGGCAGTTCAATGTTCCAGGATACTGAAGCTACAGGCGTGACAGAAGTACAAATAAGCGAGGAGGGAGAGCTGCCCTTTTGATAAGGGAGGACATAACAACAGTGCTTAGAGAGGATATTCTTAAGGGGCCATAAAATGAGGCCATATGGTTAGAACTTAGAAACAAGAAGGGATGATCACTCTGTTGGACTGTATTATAGACCCCCACATAGCCAGCGGGTACTAGAGGAGCAGATATGTAGAGAGATTGCAGGTACCTGTAGGAATAATAGAGTAATATTGGTGGAAGATTTTAAATTCCTCTGTATTGACTGAGCCACCCGGGCCACACAGTTATAGAAAGAGATAGGACAGGTCCGCAGAGCCCAATTTTGGGGCCATTAGGCAGGATCTAGCAGAGGTCGATTGGGTGAGTCTGTTTGAAGGAAAAGAACGAACGGCAATTGGGAGGTTTTTAAAAGTGTGAAATCAAGAGTCCAGGGACGGTATGTCCCTGTTAGGGTGAAGGGAAAAGTTGACAGATTTAGGGATCCCTGGCTGACGAGGGATATTGAGGCTCTGGTCAGGAAAAAGAAGGCGGCATACATTGGGTTTAAGCTACTGGGCTCAAGTAAATCCCTAGATGACTATAAAAATTGTAAGAACACATTGAAAAGGGAATTCAGAAGAGCAAATAGAGGGTATGAGATGGACCTGACAGGTAAGGTTAAAGATAATCCCAAGAGGTTCTATAGCTTTATTAAGAGTAAAAGGGTGGCCAGGAAGAGAATAGGGCCCTTAAAGATCAGCATAGCCGTCTATGTGTGGAGCCACAGGAGATGGGGGAGATTTTTAACTAATATTTCTTCTAAGTGTTTACTGAGGAAAGGATCATGGACGCTAAGGAAATAAGGGAAATAAGTGGGGGTGTTTTGGAGCTCATACATATTACTGGAGAGCTCGTCTTTGCAGCCTGAAAGAGCTTTAAGGTGGATAAGTCCCCTGGGCCTGAGCAAGTCCATCCTCAAACGTTGCGGGAAGAAATTGCACAGGCCCTTGCAGAGATTTTTACTTCATCTTTAGCCACTGGCGAAGTTCCGGGAGACTGGAGGATGGCTAACGTTGTTCCATTGTTTACGAAAGTGAGCAGAGTCAAGCCAGGGAACGACAGACCAGTGAGCCTTTTTTTTTATTCATTTGTGGGACATGGGCGTTGCTGCCTGGCCAGAATTTCTTGTCCATTCCTAATTGCTCCTTGAGAAGGTAGTGAGCTGCCTTCTTGAACCATTGCAGTCCACCACCTGTAGGTTGACTCACAATGCCATCAGGGAGGGAATTCCCGCGACAGTGAAGGAACAGCGATATTTTTACAAATCAGGATGGTAAGTGACTTGGAGGGGAACTTGAAGGTGATGGTATTCCCACATGTCTGATGACTTTGTCCTTCTGGATGGAAGTGGTCGTCTGGTGCTGTCTGAGGATCTTTGGTGAATTTCTGCAGTGCACCTTGTAGCTAGTACACACTGCTGCTACTGAGCGTTGGTGGTGGAGAGAGTGAATGCATGTGGATCTAGCGCCAATCAATCAGGCTGCTTTATCCCGGATGGTGTCAAGCTCCTTGAAGGTTGTTGGGGCTCACTCATCCAGGCAAGTGGGGAGTATTCTATCACACTCCTGACTTGTGTCTCGTAGATGGTGGACAGGCTTTGAGGAGTCAGGAGATGAATTACTCACAGCAGTATTCCCAGCTTCTGGCCTACTCCTGTAGCCACTGTGTTTATGTGGTGAGTCTAGTTGAGTTTCTGGTCAATGATAACCCCAGGATGTTGATCGTGGGGGATTGAGTGATGGGAACACCATTGAATGTCAACAGACGGTGGTTAGATTGTCTCTTATCAGTGATGGTCATAGCCTGGCATTTGTGTGGCACGAATATCACTTGCCACTTGTCAGCCCAAGCCTGGATGTTGTCTATATCTTGTTGCATTTGAACACGGACTGCTTCAGCATCTGAGGAGTCGTGAATGGTGCTGAATACTGTGCAATCATTGGCGAATATTCCCAACTTATGATAGAGGAAAGGTCATTGATTAAGTAACTGAAGATGGTTGGGCCAAGGACACCACCGTAAGGAACTCCTGCAGAGATGTCCTGTGGCTGAGATGATTGACCTCGAACAACCATGACCATGTTCCTATGTGTCAGGTATTACTCCAACCACCAGAGAGTTTGCCCCCGAAACCCTTTGATTCCAGCTTTGCCAGGGCTCCTTGATGCCACACTCATTCGAATGCAGCCTTGATATCAAGGGCTGTCACTTACACCTCACCACTGGAATTTAGCTTTTTTGTCCATATTTGAACCAAGGCTGAAATGAGGTCAGGAGCTGAGTGGCCCTGGCAGAATCCAAACTGGGTGTCACTGAGCAGGTTACTGCTGAGCAGGTGCTGCTTGATAGTACTGTTGACAACACCTTCCATCACTTTACTGATGATCGAGAGTAGACTGATGGGGCGGGAATTGACCGGGTTGGATTTGTCCTGCTTTTTGTGTACAGGACGTACATGGTCAATTTTCCACATTGTCGGGTAGATACCAGTGTTGTAACTGTACTGGGACAGCTTGGCTAGGGAAGTGGCAAGTTCTGGAGCACAAGTCTTCAGTACTATTGCCAGAATGTTGTCAGGGCCCGTAGCGTTTGCAGTATCCAGTGTCTCCAACTGTTTCTTGACATCACGTGGAGTGAATCGAATTTGCTGAAGACTGGGATCTGTAATGCTGGGGACCACTGGAGGAGGCTGAGATGGATCATCCACTCAGCACTTCTGGCTGAAGATTGCTGCGAATGCTTCAGCTTTATCTTTTGCACTGATGAGCCTGGCTCTTCCATCATTGAGGATGGGGATATTTGTGGAACCTCCTCATCCAATGAGTTGTTTAAATGTCCACCATCATTCACGACTGGATTTGGCAGGACTGCAGAACTTAGATCTGATCGGTTGGTTGTGGGATCGCTTAGCTCTGTCTGTCACTTGTTGCTTATGCTGTTTGATGTGCAAGTAGTCCTGTTTGGTGGCTTCACCAGGTTGACATCTCATCTTCAGGTATGCCTGGTGCTGCTCCTGGCATGCCCTCCTGCACTCTCCATTGAATAAGGGTTGATCCCCTGGCTTGATGGTAATGGTTGAGTGGGGGATGTGCCGGGCCATGAGGTGACAGATTGTGCTGGAGTACAATTCTGCTGCTGTTGATGACCCTCAGCGCCTCATGGATGCCCAGTCATGAGTTGCTAGACCTGTGCGAAGTCTGTCCCATTTAGCACGGTGATAGTGCCACACAACACGATGGAAGTTATTCTCAATGTGAAGGCAGGACTTCGTCTCCACAAGGAATGTGCAATGGTCACTTTTACCAATGCTGTCGTGGACAGATGAAACTGCAGCTGGCAGATTGGTAAGGATTAGGTCAAGTATGTTTTTCCCTCTTTGACATCAAGAAAACAAAAGAGAAGTAG